GGTAAGGGGTGCAAGGCACTCACCGCAATCCGAAGGGTTACCCCAGTCCGTCGTAGCCAGGACACGGATCCCGAGGCCCTGTTACGCATCATTAGCTCCTGCTGTCCGGTTTCTCTTGCTGTCAGAGGCACGTACCTGCCCGCCCTCTAGTTCAGTGACTTTTCCCACCACCTCGACTAACTTTCCCATCTGCAGATGCGAGTCTGACTTCAGGATGAGAGTGACGTCGCCGTTATTCCCGCATGTTATTGTCGCCGTGTCGCCGTGTAGGGCTGTTACCGTTCCGAGGATGCGGACGGTGTGTGTTGAGGAGCCGCTGGAGGGGTGGAAGGCGTGGAGGTGGGCGGGGAGGACGCGGGGTGTTTGGAGGGACATTTTTTTTTGGATACGCTGACTTTGGGACCTTGGAGGTTGATTATTTGGGTCCTGCAGTAGTTGTTTCGCTGGGATTGATAGGCAGAGTTGTAGATGTAGAGAGGTTGATACCTTGCTCGTGGTTAAGCTCCGTCGCGGGGGCGCGCAACGCGTGTTCACGTGATCTCATTACAGTCTCGACCGCCCGCTGGGCTGGGCTCCATACGTCAATCGGCAGATGATCAGAGATATCGACTTTTTCCTCCGCGGTATAGCCATTCCCACCCTCTGCGGACGATATACCATTTCCGCAGTCTCGTAATACGACAGATGAGCTGATAGAGTCTCGACACGGCCTTATATTGATCCCATTTTCGAGCGGTCGTCGCCATGCCTCCTCCACTTCCCTCCCAACATCGCGGTATGACCGCCAACCCTCTCAAGCCAGTTAAGCGTTACCGGCCCGGAAAACCGATCGCAGAGGAACCCTCATCATCTGAGGAAGATGAGGATGCAGAGGAAGAGGTACAGGAGCAGGACCGGCGCAGACAGGAACAACAACGGCAGAGGCAACAGGCTCCAAAAGCGACCTCGTTCCCTGCTGGCGCTGCTGCTGCTGCTGGGAAGATCACGAAAGGCGTGCAAGATGTAAAGATTGAAGAGGAAGAGGACGAGGAAGGTTTTGTGACGGAAGAGGAGGAAGAGGCACCACCAAAGGTAACCGCTCGTGTTGCTGGCGACCGAGCGGAGACGGTGACGGCGCAGGTAGGCGGAGACGAAGAGGAGGAAGGGGAGGAGGAGGAGGAGGAGGAGGAAAGTTCGGAAGAAGAAGAGAGCAGTTCAGAAGAAGAGAGCAGTTCAGAAGAAGAGGCGCCCCGGAGAGTTCTGTTACGGCCTACGTTCATCAAGAAAGACAAGCGCAACAATGCACCGAATCAAGCACAAAATGCCGCCGATTGGGTGGCGGAGGCGGAGGCCCGCAAGGCGCAGCGACAGAAGAAAGCGGACATGCTGGTGCGAGAGCAATTGGAGAAGGAAGCCATTGCGCGGACGACGGCGAACCGAGCGTGGGATGACGACGAAGTGGTTGAAGCGGGCGAAGAGGGTGCCATCGATGATCGGGACGGCGTGGATCCAGAAGCAGAATATGCTGCTTGGAAGCTACGAGAACTCAAGCGCATCAAGAGAGAGCGCGAAGCCATCGAGGCAGCGGAGAAGGAGCGCGAAGAGATTGAGCGTCGTCGGAACCTCACTGCGGAAGAGCGCGAACGCGAAGACCGCGAGTTTATTGAGAAGCAGAAACAGGAGAAAGAAGCCAGTCGTGGCCAGACCGGCTTTATGCAGCGCTATTTCCACAAGGGTGCCTTCTTCCGTGATGACCTGGAACGCGAAGGACTCGACAAGCGAAATGTCATGGGGCAGAGGTTCGCCGACGATGTCGCTCGTGAGACCTTGCCTGAATATATGCAAATTCGGGATATGACCAAGCTGGGAAAGAAGGGAAGGACACGGTACAAGGACTTGAGGACGGAGGATACAGGACGCTTTGGAGGGGGCTTCGACAATCGTTCCCGCCGTCGGGAGGCTGCCCTCCTCGGTATCCATGACGAGCGATTCCTACCTGATCGTCCGGATGATCGCCCCAAGGGTCCCACGGGAGCCAACGCCAGTGCTGTACGCGAGAGACGAAGATCACGGTCAAGATCATATTCGCCGAGGCGAGACCGTCACCGCGACCGTAGGGACGACAGACATGATAGCCGGCGAGACAGTTATGGGGACGGTGACCGCTATCGTGACCATGACCGTGACCGAGATCGCTCAAGGGACCGATACAGACCGGATACCAGCAGTCGAAGGAAACGGAGTCCTTCGCCATACGACGACCGCGACAAGCGACGGCGTACAGATAATGCTACATAGGCGGGTTTATGAGAAGAAATCATTATGTTCCTGTTGGAGTTCCTGGTACATGAAAAATGCGAATGGGAATCGGGATTGTGTTGCATTGCGGTTTGCGACAGGTCTTTACCTTTGTTATTCTCCATATCTAATATTTTCTCTCGTGGGGTTTGGATGTATATAACCCTGTATTTGGGCCGGTGAGCGGAGTGTGTAAGATAAAACAGACATCATGCTTGCAGATACAAACACAACGTCTAACAAGCCCTCGCTCGCTTGGTAAATCATATCCCCCCTTCCCGTTGAATCAACGTACGCGCCTCGACCTTGATGTGACGAATCAATAGTCCTTTCCCAGATATCCAATGCAATAACTCCCAGAGTCGTCGCAAGACTCGTGCATCCTGTTGTGGTCACCGCGTCAGGCAATAGCTCAGCGGTCAGCCATCCACTTATTTCACCCCTGCCCTTTCCAGCACCTTCTCTCTCTCCATAACACTCTCGCCGAACCGTAACAGAAAGATTGTCCGCCCGGGCCACATCTCCGTAGGCTGATTGTGCGCCGAAACCTTGGCCTCGAAACCACATCCATCACAAACCCCCTCTATGATCCCCGCCACAAAGGCAGCGCAATTGAGCATGCTCATCTCCTTCGGAACACTAATGTATGTGTTTACCAGCGGGTCATTGTCTGTAATCATGTACTCGTTCGGTGTTTCGGGGGACACTGAATGCTCGAGGGCGTCTGCGGGGCGTTGGAAGAGCAGGCGCCAGAGGGGCCCATGAATTAGATGGAGCAGGGGAAGAATGCGGAGAGGTCGATTAGGAGGGGAAGCAGAGGTCGAGGAGCTTGATAGCGCAGACGATGTGGAGGAAGACATGGAGCGGTAGAAGAGGAGGTCGAGGAGACGGAGGCCGAGGGGGTAGCCCTGTTCGTTTAACCTGGCGTGTTGTCAGGATGGGGTGACGAATCTACCAAAAAAAGGCGCGTTGCACTCACCGGCGCTCTAGATCCTGTATCCCTGTTACTCTTCGCTGAGCATATGTGACCATCTCAGCGAACAGGAAGGCGAAGCTTGCCCGGCTGAGCTCCGCAGTTCGACTGCGGTTCAGATGTCTGTCGTAGATCGTCTTGCGGTTCGACGGGATTCGCAGGCCGGGGCTTTGTTGCGCGACTGTCGTCACTTGCTTTGGGGGTGGCTGTCTCTCAGCGGTGCCAGCTATGTTTGTTCCGCCGGTGCTGGCGGACAGCATCGAGGAGTGTCTGGCGGGGTGTGATTGTGACATGGCGGTTATGGTCGGTTCTTGCACCTCTGGGGATGGGAGATTTGCGGGATGAGGTAGAGAGAGGTAGTAATTCAATTGATTATTGCATCATATTATGTTGGTAAGGAGATTATTTCACGAGGGAGCTTGACAGGGGGTCGTTGGTTTTCGATCTGCGATGTTGGATGTTGATAAGGAGCGTTGACGGTGTAGGCTGAGATGTTCATCATCACTCCTCCTTGGGCGCTGAAGGCCATACAATACCGCACATCGAATGCGCTACTTTATTAGACTACGAGCAACTGGTGAGCCAGCTAAAGCAACCATAGGTGCTTCCACAGACAATATTCAGTTCTATAATTTTTTTCTCTCGAATTTTGGTACGAGGTGTTCGACAGCTACAAGCGCTGATCTAAATGCTTATGGTGTAGTCAAGGAAGTAGAAACAAGTAAACACGGAGAAATTGAGTATGTCTGGAATTCAATATATCTATCTCCAACGAAATCCAGTCGTGGCTGTGTCAATTTGAAGCTATCGAATATCCAGTATCGATCAATGCTAGAACGACGACACCAACTTCGCACAACAAGTCTCGTCACCAACCAGGATAATCTTCAAAATCTCAATCAACCTATACTGAAAGCCATTATTAGCACCTATTCATTGACCTTCACAAAAGTCATGCTCAAAATGCCAAATGACCAACAAGAATCAGACATCCAAGGAAGATAATGCGCACAGAGCACGTCTATGATGGGTTCATGGCGACGGCTAGCGTGGAAACTGCGAATGTAGGAAATATTTTCATCATAAGAGAGCCAGAAGGCTCTGTTGGTCGATTTGAGGATCGAGACAGAACAGGAAAAAATGGTGACTTACCCAAAGTTAGTGAGTCGCGAGATGGAGCGCTGTGATTGAGCAAAAGCAATATTATTATCGCATATTTAAAAGCTCAATCAACTGCAGGAGTCTACATATAACTCCAGAGCCAATTGAGCAGCCAATGCTCAATTGCGAAGTCGAATTGGTGTCGTTTGTGGAAGAGCAGAAGGAAGAAATTTTGCGGCGGCGGAAGGCTTTTTATAGTCGGCCTGAGGCTGCCCGGGAAACCAACCGACCCATACGAAGCTTCTAGAGCGAAGAGCAGAAAGAAAATCTTCAGAACAAGCGACGCAAAATCAAAGGTTCGATCGGACTGACAGAATTTCCATTACTCATGATATTTATCTTCAGTTATGCAATATCAAACAAATAATGCCTTTTGAGGGCCACCTAAATAGGTGATTCCAAGGTTATGGGCTTTGTGTGGAATTGAACAAGAGCAGATGAGAAGCGAATGACTATGGAATCGTCGTCAGGTGCATGCCTTCCCCCAATAATATCCATATGCAAACAGTGTAAGATTGCTCCTCTATATACAAGTCATGACCGCATACCAGCAAATCCCCGGTTGGCGCTGCATTGGCAGCAGCATGCGCTATTTGAAGCCTTTCTGCTTTTGCCTCGAATTCCAATTCAAAGTTTTGGAGATACTCTGAACCCAGTCCTCGCCACGTCGGTTGTGGGGTAGCACGTTTGCAAACGGATACCGCGATGCGGATACAGTCACATAATCGCCCGGGTGCAATTCGATTCTACCAGGCTGTCAGCGAATCTCAACGTAGCTTCCATGTCGCAGAACCCACCTCTCTCGACCATCGAAGCTTGCCCATGAGCTTGTTCGGGCATCATAAGGCACTCCCATACGTAGAACAATGGTGTCCGGCAATATAATCGGTCGGAAAGACAGGGTGTGGGCGCAGATGGCGGTAACGAGAATGACCGGGTTCTCTGGATGACACAATGAACCTCCCGCGGCGAGATTGTACGCCGTCGAGCCGGTAGGCGTCGCTATACAGACGCCGTCCGCTAGCAACGTCGTGAAATGCTCATTGTCACCGAACAGCTCAATTTGAGACATCGCTGATATGGTCAGTCACGGACCCATTTCCTGGCAAGGCAGATTGCATTCATGGGAGGCTCTTACTGGGGTTCGGTCCTCTGTCAAGCACGACATCGTTGAGGATCTGGAAAACCTTGTCCGGTCTATGGGTCAATGTTCCTTCCATCTCCTCTCCTATCAGTTCTTCGACGAGATCCCGCTTCGTTATGTTTGTTGCGTCGTCCTCCGGCCGTCGATTGCTCCTCATGATCGTGCACTCGAACCTTAGTCTGAGGCTTACCACGACACCGTCCTTAAACGCCGTCTCTAGTGTGCTCTGATATTGGTTGAAATCGAATCTAGTCAGGAATCCCAGGGACCCCAGAGAAAATGAGAGTACGGGTGGTACGACGTGCTGGAAAAGCCAGCTCGTGTATAGAACCGTGCCGTCCCCTCCTAGTGTAACAACAAAGTCGAATAAATGTGCTTCTTCAGATGCCATGTTTGAATCCCAGTACTTGAGCCGGCCTTCGGCCGTAGGTTCTTCTTGAAGGAGCTGCATAGCTCCAAAATCCGGGTGCGTCTCCAGCCGCTTCTCCACGTAGACGACATATTTTGTCGAGCGATCCTTGGAGAGCAGCCACTGGGTAACCTTCCGTGTAAGTACGACAAGAGATTCGTCGCGTACCTTTGTCACAACCAATACGCTCTTCACCGTGAGCTTGAGCTTGATGCTCCCTAGTTTCTTCGACAGCTTGCGCACATTCCACGCCATATCCGACAGCTGCTTCTTGGTCAGGTGTCGTGACTGCACCACAGTAGGGAGTGTCTTGAGAGCCTTTCGATCCTTCGCCTCGGACGGTTTAATCGCATCGTCGTCGTCAACGCTCGTTTGTGGGAGGGCTGTTTCGTGCGCATTGCTCGGCTTCACATCTGGTCGGATGTCTTTGGATGGCGGTGTTATCCATTCACCCATTATCAATGAATGCACGAAGCATGCTGTTCTTTCGTCCGCATTGTCAAGGTGCGGTCTTGATCTTGAGTCGTCCACCGAAACCAAGGACGACTTGCGGCGGTGAGTGCAATCGGGGTAAAGTACGACCTAGCAGGCAGGTGTTATTCGCGGTTAGCAGGAGGTTCAGATCTCAGTAATGGTGGGTTTGTGCGTTTGTTGTACCTCCAGCTGGTTATGCGTTTCGGTATCGCTGATTGCCCCTCCGTGGTCCTTCCGTTAGGTCAGCTCTGGCAGTTCCTCCGGTGAGGGTCTGACGACGTACAAAATCTTCCTGCGACAGCGTCTTCTCCATTATACCACAGCTCTATTCTCAAAAGTAATCAATTCCGAGTAACTTTTTGATGGCCTTCTGGCGCGATTGTCCCATAATGTGAGGATTGAGAACCTGACTTGTTGCGTTCAATGAGTTGTCGCGGTTCCGGTCGAAGTGGGTATGACGTCGTTACACGGCTCAACCAGTCATCATACCTAATCCTGCTGAACTGCATATCAATGTGAATACTTGCCAGCGCTCATTGTCGGCGCTAGTTTGGTGTTTATTGTGCTCGTGGTTTGGTGTGTCTTTCAAAAGTGTTCAGTTGTATGATTTGGCTAGAATGGTCCAGTCTACTTGGCCTGGTGGGGAGGTATACCAATATCTCCGTGTCAGGGAATATATATCTCCATCATAGCTCAATACAACTCTTGGTGGGGATTACCCAAATAACAAACCCACACGGTGTGTTCTGATGCAGTAGCCGATAGCCATATTGAAAGCGAGGTCATACTAAGGATGTACTCGTTCACACATAAATCATAGAACAAAAGGCATCATATACGCGCGCACAACGTAAGGACGAATATAATACTGAGCAGACAATGAGGTCTCCTTCCGGTCGATATTGATCTTCTTCCAATCAGCCATCGGCCAACAAACCTAGTAGTTCAGCCTGAAAAACATAGTCAATCCTCGAGGGGCAAATGTGAAAGGGAGATGAACAACATGGTCTCTGAGTCAAGATGGACACTCGTCAACCACTATAGAGTACTGCCCGTATGCCAGGGACATTAGAATCCAATAATAATGGAGCATACTATGTGTCGAAGTTACAGCGACCGACCTTATCGTCTAAAGGGATAATGGAGTATTGCAGGTAGATAGGCGAATGTATCAGCAAAGCCTGCATCTATCAGGGTAGGCTCCGAATTTTGTCAGCGTAAGTCAATTAGTATATTAAATCTTCATATTCGGCGTTCTTCGACAACCTGTCTCCGTGGCCCAGCTGGTTAAGGCGTCCGACTGTTATGCTAGCTGCTCCTAGCAATCGGGAGATCGGCAGTTCGATCCTGCCCGGGGACGATTTTTTTCGTTCTTCTTTCTGCCGTTCGTTGGCAGTTACCACTGATCTCTATCAGTCCAACTCTGCCTTAACTCAATTACACGCGCTCGTGATTTTTTTATTTTGTATGCGGTAATAATATCGATAATCATAGGTAGATTTCTTTTGCGAGGCTGCAACCACTCGGCGGACTAGGGTGTTGCGTCAAGACATCCTCTTCAACTGTCCAAGTTTCATGGTCATTCAGTATCCTAGACTCATGTGCTCAAAAGCTCTGATGGTTCTTCAATGATTGGTCTCCATGGCCCAGCTGGTTAAGGCGTCCGACTGTTATGCAATAGCTGTGCAATCGGGAGATCGGCAGTTCGAACCTGCCTGGGGACGAATTCTTTTTTGCCGTTTCTACTTTGCACACTCTCAATCACTCCTTAGTCTGCCTTATTCTGCCCCAGTCTTCATCACTAGCGCCAGCTCAGTGTTTGACGCACCATCGGAAAGTGGCAAACAATTCAGCCTGATTGCTGCGGTGGTCAACAGCGGGACAGGCAGCAATCAAGCTTGAGGCTGTGTAGAGTAGTCTAAGTTGATCTGGCACATTATGGCACTGAACATTATTACTGGCTACGCCAGAAAGTTCTAGCCTTTTGGTCCCTCCTTAGGCTGGTACTACGCCCTCTGTCCGTTTGACGCTTACCAGATGAACACTCAAGGCATCCTAATTCCCAGCCAGATACAGGTCATGGTTCCTTCATTCCCACCCGAGCTTTCAGCCTGGTCGTATTTCCAATGCCACGTACGGCTAAATTAGTTGATATGACCGCAGCTGGAGCCACCTCAATGTCTAACTCGACCACGTCCGCCGAGTCGATAATTCACAAGCGCCTTGAGGCACGCACTGCATCGACCTAACCAATCAGATGTCTCCATGGCCCAGCTGGTTAAGGCGTCCGACTGTTATCGCTGTCCATTGTTGGACTCGGCAATCGGGAGATCGGCAGTTCGAGCCTGCCTGGGGACGTTTTTGTACCTCGTGATTGTACATTGACTTTTTCGGTGCACAGAACTCCCTTTCTTCCTCCTCATGGTACTTTTTACCCCTGAAGAATAATAGGTTTAGACTGCATGCCTTCCCCAAACGGGAAATACGGAGACTTTCCGAAAGGATCGAAAGACAAGATGCGCATATGACCATGTTCTGTACAGCTCTTAAAGTTCCTCTGTTACTTGAGTTGCACTGTTCCTTGGGTGACGTTCGCCTACCCAAGGTTCCTCTTTTCCACGTTCTGATTACATACTGCTTTGGCAGCATAAGGCGGCCTTTTGCGTGGGCCGATCCGGTTGAAAAAAGAACAGCTTGCAAAAATAAGTCACGAAAATTGAAAACACAAAAGTTCGTCCCCAGGCAGGCTCGATGCTGATCTCCCGATTGCACAACCTATTGCTTGACAGTCGGACGCCTTAACCAGCTGGGCCATGGAGACTTGTCATTGTCTGTGCGGGCAGCCTTTAAAGCTCTATAAGTCGGTACAAAGCATTGTTGCGGATAGAATCACTTGACTTTCGAAATCCATGGAATCGCCTCAGGATCAGCGCCGGCACGGACGTCATTCCTTCCCTTGCTTTGGTTTCTTGCCCGTATGAATCCGATCTGGATCATCTACGCTGTGTGACGCATAACGGACATTGCTCCCCGAACGTTTGGGTAGGTAGAGGGGTGTAAAGTACAGAGGGAAGATCCTTTGATGATCCCTCGGAATTGCCTTGCCTGTGATACATCCCTCCGGCATGGACCACTCATGTACATGTCTGGCTGTACGACTAGATGCAGGAATGCAGGATTCTAGGATGTAGTCAGTGCATATCACATATGCAGATGGCGTGCTGTCTTTGCTTGAGGTTTGCGTCTGTTTGTGAGTGACCAAGTTAGTCTACAGGTCTATGCAGAGTGTCAGCCTCATATCATCTCTACAATGCGTTCGAAGAGTCTGCCCTTGCTGATATCAACAATCTCGATTTGGATGTAAGGTAGGTAGTTTCGAGGTGCTGCCTGGTGCCATGAGCCATGATTGGTCGGGCACCCAAACATACTGCCTTACGTACTTGGTGTGCTCTGTACAGAGTAGTATTCATATGCAGGGGTGATACGCATGTACGCATTTGACTCATGGCTACCTGCAGCTGTCCCCCAAATTTTTCTGGCAAAGGGGAGAGAACATGAGCCCGACTCTGTTCTCCTTTCTTCGAGGGTGGTTGAGCGCAGACTGCAGACTGCAGACGCATCCCGTCGTCGAATCCTTCTCTCGACTTCTCAAAGTCAAACTCATGACCAGGCGTAAGGTATCTATGGAGTACCATCTGTGTCCATGGTGCAGGATTCAGCAGTAGATCCAGCCTGTATTGCGTCTGGTGCTCCGCCACGAAGTGTAATGAACGCGCATTGTGCCAACTGCCAACTTGCCATGTTCGAGTCACCTCTAGTCTGAAAGCGTTGCCAGGAAAAGTTATTCGTGCCAGTCACACGATGCCCACTTCGTCCTTCTCAAAGCAGGCTCCATAAGAACCATCCACTTGAGCCGGCTTACCCTCGTAATAATAAAGCCTACCAGGCGGCCGCCACTAGGTTCTTGAATTTCCTGATTTAGGTTTAGGTTCAGTTCGACAAAGGTGAGCTCAGACGTTGTGGCGTTCGGACGTAGCACGCGGCGCGGAGCGGCAGAGGGATGAAAATTTGGTTTCACAGAAATGAACCTAATAATCCTATGAATGGATACGATGCATCCGCTAAGGAGCTAGCAGGGCCTGGCACTAGGCTGGCATGCATCTCGGGGGCCGGGGCCATATGAGGCACACTCTGTGTCATCCCATTGCTGCGGTTGATATGTCTCATAGTGACAGCTTGGGGGTGTGTGATTGCAGGAATCGCCGCGGGAAACAGATATCTTAAATGGTGAGTGGCTGTGGCAGACGGAGTACGCGGCCGAACATGGTAATTGAAGGACCACAAATCCTTCAAGGATGAGGATACTCAGCTAGAGCGCGGCCTGCGCGGCCGAGGCGAGATGACAAAGGCCATTTGGAAAATTCAATTAAAAATGGCTGAAATAGCGCCTAAGCTCACAGTGAACACATGTTTGACCAATGATAATGCAATCGGCTACAGCTATTTCCCAAAGTATCACAGGATCTGGCGCCGATGACATGGAACTAAGGCAAGTCAAATCAAATTAGCGGGTGTTCCTATGCCTGAGCTTTGCGGTCTTTAAACGTTGAGTGGCTGGCATCTAGCACTGGGTTGAGTGCTCTTTCAAAATCAGGATTGAACCATGTTCAGTGAACCTTGATGGAGAGGCGTACATGTCTTCTGATCTGACATCCCTTGTCTCTGTGTGATGCTTACTGCCTGTGCCTCGTTATGTGGATCAAGTCCGAGAAAGCAACTATTTGAGGTGATCCCTACATGGCTGTGGAATTTAACTAAGGTAGTGTCGTCGATTATTGCCCAGTTCCAGGCTTCTCCTGTCTTGGACAGTCAGATTGTGACCGCCATTTCGGGGTTGCTGAATTGAGCCTGGTACAGCAGCGAGGCGCTAATTAGGCGGAGACAGCCAAGTCCTACCCCGTTTGGAGTCTTGGAGACTTGGATTACTGCTTACTTACACTCCAAGGTTAGTGTGCGATTGACGATCAGAGTATTCTGTCGTCATGATTGCTCCTTTGATTCTTCTCGTAGTGTTAATTATGACAACGGAGAGGCAGTTGGCCCTAATCCTGTGAGACTGAGGCAGTCATTGAAGAGATGCCGACCGTGTTCCGCGGTGAGGGCATAGGGATGGATTTTAGAGGGGCTAGACTAGTTCCAGGCCAGCTGATACTGTAGTATCGATGTGGCCTGTGGGTGTTTGATAAGATCATCTCTTGTGATGGATTTTCTCCCCGACGTCCCAGCTCGTATGCAAGCACGCTGTTATTGTTGGAGCGATCGGCGAATGGAATGAAATGGAATTAAATCTTGACTGCTATTTGAGACAACTGTCTGACTAACTCCAGGTCCAAGCCCAGGGCAAACAGCAGGGAGCAAAGTATGCGCCGACCTTCCCTTTTACCTGGTAGTATCCCTGCACAACGCCAATTAAAGTGGAGACAATGGATAGATCATCAGCACACTAAGCACAATACTCCGTACAGGAGACAGACCCACTTGCATTGCCCATCAGCGTCTCAGAGCCACAGAGGAGAAGGATTCAAGAAAAATTAGTAAGGATTGTTACCTACATACGTACTGACCCCTGACTCAGGCCCCGTTTGTTCTATTAATTTTCTAGCCCCCCCTGCGCTACCCATGGGTCCGCACATGCGTCCCAACTTCCCGGCGGTTTCTTCCTGGAATCCGCGGCCTTTGATTCGCACGGCGATCAAACGATGATCTCGACCGTCCGATCAACTAGTACATTCTAGGTAATGTTCTTAGCGATGTCGATGCCGCTACTTGATAGGATGTTGGACACACACAGAGTACGGAGTTTACGAAGGTCAGACAACGGAGTCGAATCCTACACCGTGTACATGACCGATATGCTGAGATTCGATGAGAATCGCCTAAGCTATCACAGGCGATCATGGTAACCGCCCTTGGAAGCAGGGTGAGGTGAGCACGACAGGGGGTAGGAACATGAGAAACCCGCCTTGTCCGATGGCTTGATGCTCGGTTCCATGCTCCATAAAGCATACTAAACGGCTAGAAGTGATAGTCCTTCGTAGAGTATGCTGTAACCTTGAGCTTTATGTCGAGCCTTGGTCAATCTTGCAGAACCGTTGTCCAAGCTTATTGATCATGTGCCCCTTTTAAGAAACTCGTGCTTCATACTCTGTATTAACTTCTTTGAGGGTTGAGTTGGCCGTCGCCTCATCAGTACGGAGCCACTATGGAGTGCAAAGGCACGAAGTAGTAGGTAATACTGGATCCTCAGACTCGAGTCGACTCCTAGCCAAAGTGTCAGTTGATAAATGAATAGTTCCCCACTTTAAATTGTTGAGCATATTTCATCCTTGGCTCTCCGTCAAACCTAGAAACAAAATAGTCAACTCATACATGATACATCGATACCCTGCAGTATTCTATATTCCGTAACAAGTAATATTGGATATCTGCTGGGGGTGGGAGTGCATTAGATGATATTATTAATGCTGAAAGTCATACGCTAATGCTGATCACAACCAGTGTCACATAGATAGCAATATTTGTTTTTTATTTTATTTTTATTTTTCCCTTTTTTCAATACTAAATGTCTTACGCCCTTGTACTGGGCTAACAAGCCACATAAAATAATAGTAAAGGTGTGACAAGGATAGAGATAAAATCTCACCTTCCACATGACTCTTGATCTTAGTCTCTCCGAATCCTGCGCCTAATCGGACGGCCAAAGGCTTGGTATGGAGTGCTTGGCGTCTCCCCGATTACGAGATTACAGAGTCTAGCCGTTCATGACTAATCTATGAGTCCAAGTGTCCAACCTTATCCACTGCACACTAGAAATGCAAAGTTAAGCCTATGACGATGGTGGATAAACTCTCCCCAAGCGGTTGGTTTCAAAACGAGATAGCGGATCACTTCAGAGAGTGCCCCCGGTGAGACCGAAGAATGCCTTATTTATAGTGATACAAGGGTGTAGCACAGGCAACAAGGCGATGAGCAAAGCTGGATATCATGGATAACATATACATATACAAGCTGGCGAGCGCTCGCTCTGCTCGCGTCTTGAGGKTCGGACCTTCGGCCCTCACCTTAACTAATATTAATCCTTTAAGGCGTAACCCTTTATATACAGCAATTTTGGGACTGAATTACAGCTAATTATTAAGCGATTATTAAGCCGGGACCCACCCTTATTGCCTTATGATAATAGTAGATGCCTTGCAGAGTGACCTCGTTCAGCTTGGAGCGACGATGCAATTGTAACCCTTGCGTAAGAGGTATTGAGCATAGCAAGATGTGACGCATCGAAGGAATGAACTTGCGGGGAGGCACTCGAGAAGTCAGGCAGGTTGCACCTGATACATAATACGGACTTACGGAGTAATAATGATGATAGAGGTAAGGCCAGACTCAGCAAAGAAAGGAACATTATTAGTATGTGGACCAGCCTCCAACTCCAAGAGATATTGAAATTGAATGCCGAAAGCCGTGACCGCACGGCAGCAGGCGCCAGCGATGATAGGTCGACGTTTGCTAGTGTGGCTTCAACATTAAGAGACAACATTCCAGAAAAAGAGGGACCCTTTTAAGTCGAACCTGCTAAACTAAACCGGGCGTGTCTCTCCGCAACCTCGCAGCCACTTACTAATAGGGCCAAATTTCGGGCGAGAAGAAAGTAAAAAAAAAAAAAGAGAAAAGGAAAAAAGGAAAAAAGGAAAAAATAAAATTAAAATTAAAATTACGGAAATCCACTAATTCAGATGTCACTGCCAAACATAGTCATGATCCCTTCAAAATAACTCCATCCCTGATATGTACGGATACCAGTTCATATGAATGATGGCTAAGGTAGTTGATCAGGTCGGCAGGACTCGGTAGGTCCGTAAGCAGTCACTCCTGATGACAATAATACAGAGCATAAGCCCTAGCTTTATGTATAGCTGCATCTGCATTAGGACCTGGGCAACGCTCTCCATGTCCATCATTAATACCTACTTGGATACTCAACTCTGCGTGTGTAACCATCGACTCGATCACAAAAGAGGTAACTTTATTTCTTGGTTATCTAGCCGCTTACCCAGCAGTCACTTAGTCACACACGGGCCTTGAACTTAGTTGTTAGTATCCGTACTACGGAGTACTACCTTACTAACCTAGTTTCAGCGTGTTCCAGACTCTCTATCTTTCTGGTTCCTTCTCTGACTTCCTAGTTCCTACCATGCTCTAAGTGTTTCCTTTTTATTTTCTCCTTGAAATCCCATCCAATGAAAACCCAACTCCTTGTGACTTTTCATGGGTCTGATCATCCCCACCAGTGGTAAGGTATTCATTTCCTTCTCCACCGACATGGCAGCACCATGGTCACCACCACTACCATGGGTCCAACCGTCCAGCACATCCAGAGGGTCCAGAAATCAAGCTGGACTTCGGAAAAGGCGGTGGAAGATAGAGAAGAGGAAAATAAGAATTCTATACGGAAACGGAGACGGAGTAGAGGAAAGAATTAATGCTACGGGCCTACGGGCCATGGAAAGGCAGTGGAGCCGCTGAGCTGAGGCATGGGCTCTGAATCATCACATCCTTCCAGTTCCATCCCTGCCAGACCAGCCTGCCTCCTCCGTTCCTTAGCCGACTTGCTTGTTCCATTCTTCCCCCTGTGAGACGCGGACCAAGTCACCTATTTTGTTAGTTGTCAACGTTGTGTCATCTCACTATTGAACATGTGTCCGCCAATAGATTGTCCGCTATGGAGTCCCAACCTTTGGATCGTGGAGCTGGGGCGGACGGTAGATCGGAAATGTAAGTTGAGTGCCACGAGTAACAAGTGACCCCATATTCATCGCATAGAATAAAAAAGAAATTATTACTTTTTTCTTTTTTCTATTTATTTCATATTAATAAATAATTATTTTTCTAAGAAGGGAAAGTGGTTTGATGGCTATGGGGACAATGAAGATCTCTGGACTATCTGGCTAAAGTTACTACTTTATTACTTTACTACTTCCTTCTGCAGGACTACTTGCTGGGTACCTTGCCATGAGCGCCCTGTGACCCCTTGTGTCATCTTTATATGATGAGTCTCGAACTCTGACCTTATTATTGTGCATCTTACTGCAGTCATCCATGGATTTCAATCCACCTCCATCTGTCATATAACTCTGCGCTCTACATACCTCATCCCTCTCGCCATTATAACCAACACCTTCATCCACATTCAGCCAACTATCATAACCATTCCCGATCTGATTGATACTCTCAACATCACAACCAATGGCCGACTGTTGGCAACCACAAGCCTCCGTAGCAGGTCCCTACTGGATTTCACCAGGAGAACAGCCATGTTTCCGTACGTCGACGTTTCGTGACTTGATGTACGCTTTCCCAAGACCGAAGCGCACTAGCCGGGTAATGAAACCCCGGAGTGCTGGAAACAGTCCTTCCTCTGCTGCCAAGCGAAGGGCCACCACGTCGCACACTTCACCAATGTACCGGCACCTCCCGCAGCAGTCTTATCAGGCTCAGATCCAAGCTGCTCTCGCGGCTTCCGCCATCCGCAGAACACGCCAACCGCGACCAATGAGTTGGCACCCGGCATCACTGCGATCAACTGGATATTCCACCTCTCAGTACTTACCGGCCACCACTATGTCTGGAAACCTTGCTACCACAGGCTTATGCGCTTCGTCATCCAACACTCTTCCTGTTACCTACGGTGGCGAGGACATTCTACCTGCTTATCCCACCTCAGATGCGGCGATGTTTTCCTCTCTGTCTGGCATGGAAGATCCGACAACTATGCAGCAACAGTACCTCTTGCAAATGAACGGCTCGCAGGTCGAGCCCATCAACTGGGACTCCGGTGCGTCTAGCTTATCAGCGATGGCTCCGCCCATGTCTGAAGGCTGGCCCTTCGATATGATGTCCATGTACAGCAGTATTCCTGGGGCGGACGTTGCGGGGTCGAATTATGAGAGCGCGCCGTCTTCTGGACCTCCAACGCCATTTCTCCCCATTCAGCAGTTTGATGAGCCGGATGCGGTTGAGGAGCAGCCGGAGGACGAGCTTGTCGGGATGGGCCTGTACAGTCATCCTGACGCATCGCTGAATGCGTCATTGGCTGGACTAAGCGGCAAGGGGTTGAAGCTGGAGGAGACTTTTACACCATCCCCGGACGACGAGACAGAAAATCAGGACGCTGACGGAGAGGATGATGACCTGCAAGACACCGCAGAGAAGCAAGCCAACAACAGCGTCGATGCTCGTCAACGGCAACCCGGGCCTGAAACACATGCTCAATCTGTGAAATCAGCAGAGAATATGCTTAACAAGTCATTCTTTTTCGAGGATGATGGCAGACTAGACCAAGATGGCGGAGTAGTCTCCCAGCAATTCTTCAGTCTGGATAATCAGCCATGCATGAATTATGCATATGGGTGGATATGAAATTTGGAATCTGTTTCTTTACTTTTTTTTTCCCTCGACAAATTCTGTCTCTCCTTTGTCTTCATCCTTTTGTTTCATGGCATAGCGTGGAGTTTTGATTTTTATGAGTGGCACGAACCGTGACGAGGATACCCAACGGGAGGTACAATGATATGAATAGCTATATGCATTAGACAATTGACCAATAGACGAGCAGCTTGCTAAGACTAAGATTCGTTTCTCAGCTGTGTATTGATCTGATCTGTAACTGATTTCTTGATTTAGTCATTCATTTCTTTCCTATGATGCTTCATTCCTGGTGTTCAATCAGTGCTTGAGAAGAGACCAGTCGACTCTTGATCAGTCAGCTGAATGGTGTCTCGTCCCTCGAATAATAGCCGTTAATAAACTGCATGACGTTAAGCTGATATCTTGTTTGAACTGGATAACTCCATGCACTGTGCCCTTGAATCGCAAGACGAATGGATGTTCGGGCCAGTCTCGTGACTACGGCTTCCTGTCTTCGCCCCGTCTACTCTGGGATTGTTGGCCTCTTTCTATCCTTCCCACATCTGATCTCGTCAGTATCTTATGATCTCCATGAGGTAAGATTGACAGTTGGGTAGCCTCAGAGACGAAGATGCCAGCTTTCACGGCGTCCTCTTTCCCGACTGAATAGCTGTGCAAACTGCATCAAGACGGTCAGGAAATTGAAAACCCAAGCTCAGATGGTCTGATCCTTGAAGACTTGAAGTCGGCCGCAGAAGCGATGTCGAAGGCTGGCGAGAACAAAAGCAACACATTCTGAGTAGATAATCACCTTTTGCCTCGGACATTATCAGCTCATTCATTCACAGTATCAGACATGTCTGTTAAGAGTCTCATTTAGCTTCTGGAGTGCCTCTCTTGCGTTGAGTCTTGTTGGGCTCCATCGCCAGCATAGCATCTGTCGGGTCAACAGGAGAGTGATAATTTCTAAGGGTATCTCAGCTCATGTCAACTGCCAGAGCAACTGTTCACATCTCGTAGAATGTCCGGAGACTGTAGCTGGACTGTAGATGGACAGTAGATGGACATTGAAACAAATTCGGGAACAATCGGAAGGAAAAACAATTCGCCGATATAAAAATCCCGTCGATCAGATACAGTGGTACAAACAATAGAATGAGACTCACGAGAGAATTACGGATACTTCTTAACTGAAATATCCAGGGAGCAAAATGGCAAAAGTATTCTTTACACCATGGAAGGACCATTCTCAGTTACTCACTGTCCGGAATCAATTCTACCCTCCGCCAGCCTATGATGGACCGGATTTGCGCTCAAAGGCTTGCGCAACGGTACGTAGTTTCTACATTATGCTTGAATATCATGATTAACGCCTCCAAGGTCGGAATCTGGAAGCTCCGTGGCAACCTCCCACATCCGGTTGAGGCTACTGCTTTATTAACGGACGCGATTCTTCACGACGATGCTGGGAAGAATTCCATATTCTCGATTCGAGCGACCTACTCAGCTGCTTTTTGTCGGTCAGTCACTTTTTATGCACTTGCGACACGGAATTTATCTCTAACGCAGGTCTATCAGATTTGTAACGGGTCTCGTTGACTCGAAACTCCATGGACAGAAGAAGACCATGTTTCAACGAGCGATTGACCTCGGGCTTCCAGCATCGTTTGTCGAGCTGCGTCACGAGGCGACCCATCGAGAGTTACCGTCTCTTGTTGTGCTGCGCAATGCGACGCAGCGCTCATTAGAGTGGCTCTGGGACTATTACTGGGCGAAGACAGACTCTGATGTTGCGCTTGTATCTGGAAGGCCTGCGCCTGCGGTCTCTAACGGCGCCGACGATGGCAATGTAGAAGAAATCAAGAGCATCCTCAGGTCTGCTCTCGAGCATCCAGTGAGCCAGGGAGATCTTTCAGAGCCACCACGGAAGAAGAGGAAGTCAGATCAGCACTCGTCCTTCCTTACGGCCCAGCTGGTAGCGATATGTAAGGCGTCAAGAAGAAGTCCTCATTCGCTTTCCCGAGTCCTAATTGAGGATTCAATCATTGTGCCAAAGGGGCGAAAGTAAGTCTGCCTTTGATATGCAACGTTAGTGGATTATCCCCGGCTAATATATCTTTACAGACTTGGCGATTCCCTGGATGAAGCATTCACCAAGTGGGACAAACCACTGCAGACTGTAGCGGCAGACTACCCTACATTTTTACCAGCCCTGACCGGGGGGTTGGTCAATGAACTGGCATTCACCAGACGACCGAATACGAAGAATGATCCCCAGTGCGAGGCGATTTATATGTGGCTGGATTACATTTTGAACTCAGGAGAGTGGAGTACAGCGCGGCAATCGCTTTCCCTCGGGTACATCCGCACTGTCTGTGAACAAAGTTCAAATTACTGGCTAGATCAGCTCAAGAGCGCTGTTCGCTCGGAGGATAATCGTTTGCCTCCTATTGCTAGAGATAAGAGCAACGCTCCAGCTCGATCGCAGAAGAGTTCTGAAAGTACGACACGTGCCCAGCATACCGAAGATGACCTACAAGGGCTGCAAAAGTTCGGGTGGGAAAGGTTAGATACGTGGGATACCAGACCAATAGGGATAGTTTGACCTGAGCAATGGTCTACAACCCACCGTCTCCGTTTCACACGACTCGCAAAATCGGAAGAGATTCAGGATGGATCAAGAAATACCCTTTATATTCAATTCATTTGGTACAAGCCGTAGGAAAGACAATTGAGCGATGTATATAATTTTCCAAATACGGCTTAGTGCCAACCACATGACCCGAAGCTTCTATGAGGTAATGCTCCGGATTGTCTTCATTCATTGAGATACCGCTTATTACTAAATAATCTCAGTATCACCCCGCATTTTCTCTCTCTATTCACTTACTGTCAATGAACTTCTTCAGAGTGATTAGACCGTACTGTGGATCTCAATACTCAAGGGCACATCACATCAGAACCATGCATGTACAGTCAATTCCTATGTGTAAGTTGGATATACACCGTGCCTTGTCGAGCCTTGATTGACTCAGTGTTGGTTATCCAAGCATATTTGACGCTCACAATATTGTACAGGGACGGGAAAAGGCAATAACTATGCCTACCTTGTGACGGACGAGCCGACAAAAGAGTCCGTCATCATCGACCCGGCTAATCCGCCAGAGTATGCTGTTCGTCAAAACGCGCTTGTGGAATCAACTCTGATGTTCTGCTAGGGTAGCTCCAGAGCTTGATGCTCAGCTCAAGGCGGGCAAAATCAAACTCACAGCCATCGTCAACACGCACCAGTATGTCTCGGCATCCTGCCGCTGAGTGAGACCAGGATTAACATGCCCTTCCAGTCACTGGGATCATGCTGGTGGCAACGGTGAGATGGTGAGTTAGCTAGCTATGCGTATGGGCTCTTCTGACTAACACATACAGCTGAAACATTTTGGCAAACTTCCAGTCATCGGAGGGAAGAACTGTCAATCAGTCACGCAGACTCCTGCACATGGGGAGACGTTTAAGATCGGAGAGCGGATCTCAGTCAAAGCACTGCACACCCCCTGCCATACTCAAGATAGTATCTGCTATTATATGCAGGATGGGGACGAAAAGGTGGTGTTTACTGGCGACACCTTGTTCATTGCAGGTAAGATGTGCATTTCCTGGCTGTAATCGAATGAATCTCACACCGCGGCAGGATGTGGTCGCTTTTTCGAGGGAAATGCTCAAGAGATGCACAAAGCGTTGAACGAGACCCTTGCCTCGCTTCCTGATGACACCAAAGTCTATGTAAGCTGCTAAGAGACCACTCTTCTTTTATGCAGAAGACTGATCTCGTATAGCCCGGCCATGAGTACACCAAGAGTAACGTCAAGTTCTGTCTTGCTGTATCTCAATCCGAACCCATTAAAAAGCTAGAAGCATACGCAAATCAACATCAACAGACCCAGGGCAAGTTTACTATTGGGGATGAGAAGGTATGGAGTTGTTCGCCCCTTTTGATCGCTCTAGCTGATGAGATTGCATAGCTGCACAATGTGTTCATGAGAGTCAATGTAAGAAGATCCAGCGATTCATACTCTAATTGTACTTTTTGTCTAACCGTTCATAGGATCCTGAGATCCAGAAGAAGACTGGAAAGTCAGATCCGGTGGAGGTGATGGCAGCGCTGAGAGAGATGAAGAATGCTATGTGAGCAAGTGAGAAAGGAAATAATTTGAATACACGATCTGATCCATTGATTGAACTCTGCGTAATCATGAGTAACTCGTACTCACCTTTGTGAAACTTGCGAGCCATAACTTATTGAATGGATCCACAGCCCATAATATGTGATCTTTGAAGGAGACTCCTATTCTTTCAATGACACTTGAAGCCTCGTACAAGGAAGTCATGGTAGTCATGTAGGAAACAGAATAGTGCCTTTAGTCACTTCCGTAAACTCCATCTCCATTTCATCCGTCGGTATCCCATATTCGGCATCCCATCTGCTATCTATCCTCATGTGAACGACTCCTCTGGTTATTTTTCACAGATCTCTCTCGACTAACTCTAACCTTGACTAATCTCTACCAGCTTCTCAATAAGTATATAGCCAGCACATGGCACGCAATGAACCCCGCAGCGCGTTACAAACCAGATCCACTACCATGAAGACCGCTTCCACCGTCAACGAAGGCCTATACTGTTGTCTCCAGCGGGGATGTAGTCGAAGCTACAGGCGCAAAGAGCACCTTACTAGGCACTCTGTCAGCCACAGTCAAGCGCCAGCCTACGAGTGTCCGTTTTGCGATAAAGTCTTCTCCAGGACGTAAGCTCATCCGCAGCACCTCTCGCGCAACGGCAATAAAACTGACTCTAATTTGATATACAGTGACACTTTACGCCAACGTGTTCGAACCCGACATAAGAACAAGGAGTTGAAATCTAGTCGCACGGTTATAGCGTGTAGTCACTGTCGCTCGAGAAAGACCCGGTGCGATGGTAGGCCCCCTTGCGGAGCATGTTCACGGAGAGGTGTTCAATGCTCCTTGTCGCAATTGTCCTTGTCACGTCAGGGGAATCCGAAGAGTGCTCAAACTCTGGGTGTAGACAGCAGCATTAACGGACTTCAAGATGAGGAGTATGATCTGGAAAAACGCTCGACTGCTGAAGATCGCATGAACTGTACTCTTCCGTGGAAAGAACCCGATGTCCTGCAGTATGTTGAGGTATATTTTGAGAAATTCCATCACGTCTGGCCGTTTATGCATAGAGCGACTTTCGAACCGAGTCAGGAGCCTCCGATTCTCTTACAATCTATGGGACTGTGGATGACGGGACAAGGAGATGCAGTGTCATGCAGTCAAACTACATGACGAGCTTAGTTCCTTAGTTTACGAACAGCGAGTGAGTAACTCGCCTGGCTTCCCATTGATTACCCAAGGAAGCATCATCGAAGCCAATGTCCCCGAGTCGTGCCAGCTGATGTCAATCTGACAGGATAAGTGGGCAGACACAAACTCAGAGTCCGAAGGCCAGCGCCCCTGGCCCATGGCAACATACCAAGCCATCCTTCTTCAGATCATTTTCGCCCTCCTCAAAGACGCTCATAGTGAAGTCGACATTCGACTCGCCCGAACCCTCCATACGAGCTGTTCTCGTCTATTAACGACATTGATTGACACTTGCCTTCGCAAAAACATGTTCTTCTATCCAGAGATCTTAGCCCAGTTCAGCCGCGACTCCGTCCCGGATGTCTTCATCTGGGTTGGCATCGAGGAAGTCAAGCGCTTTGCACTTGCCCTTTACAAAGTGGGCGGGTCGTGTCATATTCAATGCAAAAACGGCCCGCGTAATAGCCTTCACAGCGCCAACAGGAGAAGAAGCCTTCTCTCCCTGGCAGACTTGCAGTTCGCATTGCCTGACAGCGATGAGCTCTGTCATGCCACCTCGGACCTGGCGGCTCGGCTGGCAGAAGATAGGCCCCTTTATTATGACAATAACAACACCGAGGCCAATTGGATTTCTCAGCCAGCGAGGCTGTTGCAGAGGCATGATATGACATTTGATTGGTTATAGTATTGTGTCGGCGCAGTTACTCTCGGGTAGATCGACTACCTTTAGCTTCGATGATCTCCGCATAGAAGTAGGAACGCTTGATAGACCCATGTCAGGAGCACTGCTCAAGTAGTCAGCTGGCAACGCGAATCTGCAAGGGTTTATCGCTTCTCTTCAAGTGGTGAAGCTGGGAATATCACAAGAAGTGTTGTCTGACCCGCAATCATCATGACGTCAGCTATGGACGAAACACCTGTTTCAACGGAATAAACATCCGGAGCAATTGCAGTTAAATTGGGACGACAATCTTCGTTCTTATAATCATATCTCCCTAAGCTCGAGCTTTGCAATTGAAGATTAAATCGTGCAACATGTCCTGTCATCAACATATTCCCAGAGACGGAGATGGAATCCCTGGCTCGCCTCTCACCACCAAAAGTCGTGTCCTGGAAGGCGGCGCCAGCATGGTGCAAGATTTCACACCTGTCAAACAGATCTGCGCCCATCTAAATGCATTCCACGTCTATGCGTCGGATCCGACAAGATGTGTAGAATCGAATCATTATTGTACCCATGTTACAGAAGGTCTTCATAGCTCCCTTCCTTCCACAAGAAAGTGGTTGCTGACCTGAAATGCAGACCTCAGGCAGTGTCTGATATACGATTCCACCAAGCCTAATGCCCGATTGATCGGCGTCGAGTACATGATTTCCCCGCGTTTATTCGAGACCCTCCCCTCTGAGGAACGCAAACTATGGCACACCCACGAGTTTGAGGTCAAAAGCGGCATGCTGATTATGCCCGCTCCCTCCGGAGTGCCGAAGCCTGCCTGGGAAGCAGCGGAAACGTCGGAGATGAGGGATATCGTTCCGCTGTACGGGAAAGCGTATCACTTCTGGCAGGTGGACCGGGGCGATCCGCTTCCTCTGGGACTTCCAGAGCTCATGGGTAGCTTCACAAATGACGAGAGAGTCAAGTACGCTCATCCGCAGGGTCTTGATGGGTTACTTGCGGAGCGAGACGAGAGGTTTGGGGTCGATCATAAGGCCAAGGCGGAGAAGAGGAAGGATATCGAGCCGCCCAACTTGAGTCCTGGTAAGTATTTGAGTCATGGTTGAGACGGGGTGAATTGCTGATGATTGTTACAGATGCCGACGCCATGTGGAAGAATAAGTAAGACGAAGCTGGGCAATGGGGTGACTTGAATGCCGGTTAGGTCACCGAGAGATAGGACAGGATGAAAGACGATGCGAATAAAATAGGATGACTTGGGTGTGCATGGCTGGTTACTGAGCAGGATACCTGAGAACCTTCAACCATCTACGAGCACGCAGCAAATTCTTCCCTGCAGCATTCTGAGAATGGATTCCCGAGTATTATCAAGAGCATGGGTCTCATCATACGACGAAGGGGAACAAAAAGGACGAAAAAGTATCATTACCACAAACACTATCTCATATCTAATTGTCTCCCACCCACGCCATCCAGCATCCCAGTCCCATAGTTAAATGGGGTCAAAGCTAAGACAGCGTTCGGGGATATCTCGCCACATTGTGGTCAGTCGAGACGTATAATGTTCATCTTGCTTCTCTGTCCACACTCGCGCGTCCTGGTGTTGTATTTCGGAAACGGCGAGCTCTAGCAATTTAGAAGCTGTATTGATAGGGATTGGAGACTAGTAACTGTGCTTGTTGGAGAATGTAACCGGACCATTGAATTGTTGACTGCAATTGGCAGCTTGAGAGCCTTGCACGATCGAAAATCCATTGCATGCGGCCATTACGCAACATGGAATCCTCGAAGATGGAGATCATCAAGACTGTAAAGCGAAGCTGGCTGACTCAAACCCATACCAGCCATAATGGTTGTGGGAACAGTCAGTCTCAACGTTCCAAGCCGAAGGAATGAAAACAAAAGTAGAAGAAACCGCAAGTGCGAAAAGATTTTTAAACCAAGACCACAACACGTGACTGTGCTCGGCCGCTCCGCCTCTCCGCCTACAAGCAATAATAAGAGGTAGATAGCTCCAATCGGCTCACCAGAACCAGACACACCATCAACAGTCCAGAAATGCTCTGACCACACCAATGGAACGAATATTCCGCTCCGCGCTGAGAAGCGCAACCCAGGGCGCCGTCTTTCGCCTCACGCTCGACGGCCTGGGCCTGTTCTGCGCATGCACTCTGGTCTGGGAGCACCTGATCACCGTGCAGCTCAGCGAAGGACCCTCGATGTACCCGACCTTCAACCCGAGGGGTGATTACCTGATGATATCGCGGGTGCACAAGTACGGCCGGGGAATCCAAGTAGGCGATGTGGTTCGGTTCTACCATCCGACGTTCCTGGGAGTCAATGGTGCGAAGAGAGTGCTGGGGATGCCGGGAGATTTTGTCTGCAGGGATCTCCCGTTTAGTACGGAGGTTGGCACGAGTCTGGAGATGATACAGGTAGGGATTAGATGCGGGTGGCTTGCGAGCGACTGGGGGTTTGCTAATTGGGTGCTGTGCTTAGGTACCCGAAGGCCATGTGTATCTCGGCGGAGACAACCTGCCCTGGTCGAGGGATTCGAGGAATTATGGACCTATCCCTATGGGATTGATCAACGGGAAGATCATCGCTCGTGTTTGGCCACCGTCGAAGATGCAATGGGTGCAGAATACATTGCAGCCAGCTCAGTTGGATGAGGAATAGACGGACTACCAATTTGCATTGCGGCGCATAGTTGGGACAGAGGTCAGGAGTTCGGAGTTGGTTAAACTTGTGTACATATTCATACATGTCGGTTGTACAATACAGATCTATCACCTGAAAGCTGTAACGGACAGAAAAGAAGCGCAAAAGGATACATAAGCAGATCACCGGAAGGTGGAAGGATTCCTCCTCTTATAAGGCAGAGGCTCGACTCTCTTCCGGCGCAGTTCTACGTCGGCATCGGGGAACCCAATCTCTCTCATGACTTCCAGCATGTTCTCATCCCATTGGGTTCTGAACAGGTGCGCCCCAATGGCCTTGAGGTGATATCTGGCCTGCAGTGTCCGAAGAAGGACGTCACGGCTCGTCTCCATGCCCTTGACCAGAGAAAAGTTCAATGGAGCCGAATCCTTTTGCTCCATGATGAAGATGGAGAGTCTGTGGTAGGGGCTGCCCTTCTGAGCGACCGGGGGCAGCCAGGGAAGAACAACCTGCGAATCTGCTGACAGGTTGGCGAGATCAACCTTGGTGGAAGTAGCGGAGATGGGGACGTTAACAGCAAGGTAGTGCATCTTGTAGTCGAATCCGTCCTTCTCGACATTGGGGACATCCGAGTCAACAACGGCTATCGTCACGAGCTTCTCGCCAGCCTCAAAGAGCTGTACATCAAGCTTGGGGGCGGTCGAGCTGACCCTGGAGTTGACGAACTCTCCGGGTTGAATCGTGTGTCTACCGAAATAGAGTTTGGTGTCCACAACAGGGTCGCAGTGAGGCAGAACATCCGGAATGACCTTCATTTGGGTAATTCTCTGCACCAAGATCTTGCGACGGTATTCTCTCCACTTCCGATCGGCCAGGAACCGGTAAATAGGCTTGGTCATGTCACCTAGGTTGCAGTTCAAGGTTAGTTGCATATGGCTACCTGAAAGTGAATGGAATTCCTTCTCTGACTCATACCTTGCCCATCTTCAAACTTCTTCTTAACGATAGGATCATTGATATCGGCATGAACCTTGAGACGCTCAAGCTCCAGTTCCATTGCCCGCAATTTCGACTTCTGGACTTGCTCGCCGCCAGCCTCTTCCGTAGGGATAGCCTGGAGCCTCGCAATCTTCTCCCGCATGGCCGTAATCTTCTTAACCTTCTCCTCGCGATCTGCGAGTAATACCTTCCGGGCTTCTTGGAAGCATTGATAGGGCAGTTGCTCAAAGGGGATGTTGGCGGAGTTCTGCAATGCTGCTCGACGACGGCGGGATCCAATGGGCGCAACACCTTGCTTCAGCAGTTTCCTTTCCAATCGCGGACTTGTCACGAGAGCAGGATCGGGGTTTTTGTAGAAGGGTTGACTTTGGGTCTCGGTCTGAGCTTCCTCGCGAGCCAGAGCGGTCGACTGAAAGGTCCGCGTCGACTGCAGCTGGAGGCCTGGCAAACCTCTAGTATAGGTTTTTTGGATACATTGAAGCAAAGGCCTCGAGGCCCGCTCACAAGGAACCATTGCTGCCAGAGATAATGAGATGGATGCGGTGGAGGAAAAGGTGATGATCGTGTTGTCGGGGCAAAGGTGGTAGAGGGTCGGACGGTGACTCTTTTTTTTTCAGTCTGGCACAGCCAAGCCTCACCCAACTAGCGCGACCACCGCAAAGCCCCGGATTGAACTTTTGCTTCATCTGCCCTGGTTCGATAACACAACAAATAGGGCATCAAACAGCAAAATGCCTGGAACTGACGCTCTTCGTGCTCTCAGATGGCTTTCGAGAAGCTCAAGTGGCCTGTTGTCAGGCGCTGAAGCCACAACGGTACTGACTTTTTCCTTGTTGAATCGCAATGATCGTTTGACAATTCGCATACTGACCATATGTCCTTACTATTAGAAGCGATGCCTGGCAACACCACTTTCGAGATCAATGGCAACAGAGGCCCAGCCTACGACTGATTTTCTCACAAGAGAATCCTCAACCGGTCCCCAGCCCGCGTGGGATACACCCGCCAAAGCCACCACCTACTCATTTCCTTCAATGGAACCCCTGCGTATCGTCGAATATCCTCGAAACCATCTTCTGATGCCTCTACGAAAAGACATTCTTCACCGAGCCGTCGTCTACGAAGGTGACATGACCCGGCAAGGTACAGCAAGCACAAAGTGGAGAGACGACGTTCATGGCAGCGGTAGAAAGCTCCACGCGCAAAAGGGCACCGGTCGGGCGCGTGTTGGCGACAAAAAGTCCCCGATTCGAAGGGGAGGAGGTGTCGCTTTCGGTCCTCACCCTCGCGACTTTGCTACGAGTCTGCCCCAGAAGATCTACGACCAGGCCTGGCGGATAGCCCTGAGTTACCGGTACAAGCGAGGCCAGCTGATCATTATCGACAACGAAATCTCGATTCCCGAGGGTGCCACCCCACATCTTGTCAAGGAGATCTTCAAGGTCAACTGCTGGGGTCGCGAGTTTGGACGTTCAACATTAATCACGGATCAACTGAATGAAAACTTGTTCGAGACGGTACGTGAGGTGGGAGAGCATGCAAAGATCCTGGACCGCAAGGACGTGGACGTCAAGGATCTCTTGGAGACAGGAAGACTGGTCATTGAAAAGCAGGCGCTGGACCGCATTCTAGCTCAGCATTCAAGGGACTTGGCCAACGAGCCTGCCACGGCTGTGTATTAGTGCAATAAGTTTGGCTTGGGCTATCTACGGTTTTTGATTGTATTAAACAATGGTATCTTGTGTATAAATAGATCGAACATGATATGAGTATCTTTGAGCCAGCGACAACGACTATCGGCATTAACAGTAATCGTGACTGAGGTTTTAAAGCCTCCATGTAAACCTCCTAGCGTTTACTCCAAGATTTCGGATCAATTCTCTTAATTCCTAGTCAAGCGCTATCAAGTAAATACATTACTCAATTTGAATCCTCAACTCCCGTTGCGCAGCTAATTCCGTTGTCGAACCGCTCGTAACCGCGGAATTGGGGATGTGCTTGGCAGCAAAACCGTCCATCTTGTCCAAGCTGCTGGCGGAGGAAAATCAATTGGCGCGAAAAACTCCGAGGTCAAGCGTCCATCCAAAGCGGAGAAACGACCTTCTTTCCCGAGTCATAAGCACTAACTTTCTCCATTTTCATTCATTGTCGTTCTCTCCTCAACGACGGACTGTCGTCTGCCTAGATGTTACTTCGACGCAGTTTCTGCCGCTTACCAACGCCGGCGAGCTGGATCTCGCGGGTTTCACCACCAATGCCTCTCCGCGCCAAAGTGACGAATCCAGCATTCGGGGCTGCTGCTAAGGTATTCTCTATCGCTTGACTCTGACCGACGTGTATGGTTCTAAATTGAAGTGTATAGATGTCGACTGCTCCCGAACTCCCCAAAGAACTCCCCGGAGACGAGCCCGACGATGTCCTATTCAGCTCCCTCTACGGTGTACGATTGATTGAGCTCAATCGCCCCAAGAAGCTCAATTCGTTGAACGGGTCAATGGCACGGAAGATTCTCCCTCGGTTGAAGGTTGGCGACTCGGATCCTGCAGTGTGTGATAACGTCTTGGTTGCTAAGCCGGTGGAATAGGAATGGGAAAAATCCCAGCTCGCAAACATTGTCATGCTTTCCGGTGCTGGCACAAAAGCTCTCTGCGCAGGAGGCGACGTCGCTTCTCTGGCTCTGCAGAACGAACAAGGGCCGGAAGGACAGCAAAAGTCGACCGATTTCTTCGGCCTCGAATACCGCCTGGACCACATTATCGCTACATACGCAAAGCCATTCATCTCGGTGATGGATGGAATCACGATGGGCGGCGGCGTCGGTCTTAGTGTTCATGCCCCCTTCCGCATTGCGACTGAGCGTACTGTGTTCGCCATGCCCGAAACTACCATCGGATTCTTCCCGGACGTTGGTGGCTCGTTCTTCCTCCCCCGTCTCGACGGTGAGCTTGGCACGTATCTGGCACTCACCTCGGAGCGCCTCAACGGTGTGCAGGCGCTCTACGCCGGTGTTGCGACACACTACTTCCACTCCAGTGTTTTGAGCAACCTGACGGCTCGTCTGGCGGAGCTGGTCTTTAGGGACCACGCGTCGCTTGCCGAGCGCTTGGACCTGGTCAACAAGACCATGGCCGAGTTCTCCGTCGGCCTTCCGCCGCTGGAGCAGGAGCCTATCCACCTTGCCGGTAGCCTGCGGAGCGCCATCGACCGCTGCTTCAAACACAAGACTGTCGAGGAGATCTTCCGGGCTCTCGAGCAGGAGACCGTACAGAAGGAATGGGCTCAGAAGACATTAGAGACCCTGTCGTCTCGCTCGCCCACATCGCTCAAGGTGACATTGCGCCAGATGCGCGTGGGCAAGCAATGGTCCATTTCCGAGACCTTCCAGCGGGAGTACCATATTGCGGCTCAGTTCATGAAACACCCCGACTTCGTTGAGGGCGTCAAGGCCCGTCTAATGTCGAAGCCGCCTCGCCAGGCTACATGGCAACCAGCTACGCTGGAGGAAGTTACCAGTGATGCTGTGGATGCCTTCTTCAAGTTTGCCGAGGGCGAGTCCCGGCTCGCACTCTTCTACAAGACCGACTACAAGCAATACCCCCACGCCTACGGCCTTCCCAGCGAGGCGGAGATTGCGAAATTTGTACGCGACAGCTCAGAATCCGCCAGCAAGACCGTGGCAGATTTCGTGGAGAAATGGGGTCACAAGGAGGGGGTTAGAGAGAAGGTTGCAGAGGTTCTTGCTAGACGAACAGTGCAGACTCCCGAAGGTTTGCGGTGGGAGTAATTCAAGACAATGCAAATATCCAAAATGTTGATTTATAAGAGCTTCTGCATATGGTTGTAATCTTCATCTACATGTATTCTTCAATTAATTGGTACTAGACTCAATCGCAGTCCCTTTCCACCAACTTACAAATGTCACGACAGGATTTGATCCTTGTACACATACGGTATTCTGTAGACATGCTAGAACGAGAGAATCCAAACATCACCCAACCGCCCATTCGACTCATCCAACCCTCCCTGCACGACAATCGCATTCTCACCGAGCACATCAGCAGCAAACCACCCACGAGCACACGGCGTCTCAGCACCCTGCGCATCTACCCTCCTCCAAGACCGCTCCTCCACATCAAACACCCACACATCATCCAACATCTTCCCCGCCCCCTGATGGCCCAACGCGCTGGGGTCCCTCTCCCCAAACAGCGTCACCAGAGCCACCCGTCCCCCAATCCGCACAGGAAGCAGCGCGCTAACGCTCCGCGCCTCGGGCCCACTCACCCCATCCGCAACAAACCGGTAAGACGACCAGGCGTTCGCTTCTGGAGCGTACACGTCCACGCTGCCGCCTTGCTCCGTTTTGCCGTCGAATCCATTCATCCGGTACAGCGCGCCGCCAGCAAAAGCAATCGAGGTCCCCCCGCGCGCAGGGTCCGGCGCGGACGCCAGCGCCGTCCATTCCCGGGTTGAGAGACGGAAGGCCCAGAGGTCGGAGAGACGGCCGGTTTCGGGGCAGCCTGCGTGCAGGTAGAGCGTGTCTGTGCCGTCGCTGGTCATGCAATGGTAGCTGCGGGGTGGTGGGGGGTGGATTACTGATGTCGGGTGGATGAGCGTCCAGGCTGATGTCTGGGGGTTGAATTCCCAGACTGCGCCGGCTTCGTCGATGGGGGCCATGGCGGCGCCGCCGCGGCCGGAGAAGAGGTAGATCTTCTTGCCGAGGGTTGTGCAGGCGGATCCTACTCGCGCGGAGGGGACCTGCGATGTTGACGGTTTGGCGATAGTTGATGTTGAGCCTGTTGGCGCGGTTAGTTGTTGTTTATCCTAGTCTTACAGGTATTATCTTACTCGTGTCATTCAGGGCGATTGTATGGACGTCATTATCGCGGGGTTCGCGGGGTCGTAGCTCTCCTCCAAAAACGTGGGCCACGTTATCAACAACAGCGAGTATTTGGGACGACCGTTGGAGAATCCCTGCGTCGAGGACCTTGGTCCAGTTTCCGGTGACTTGGGTTGCTGCCATTTTGATTGCTTTGGAACTGTCTACGGAGTAGTAGCTACATGGGCCTGGAGCGTTTGAAGTTCTGCATATGGGCTCTATCTGATCGTGAGTGGGTACCTTGGGAGTTGGGAGTAGCCTCAGTGATAACCTTTTACCTCCAGCATCATGTGGTCATCATGGTGCTATACAATGGTTGGATACCAACTGGATTCTGCCATTGGTTTATGCCTGGAAAAGAGCATCTAATCTAGCAAGCCAGCAGTCTCTTGAAAGACATGCGACATGTGACTGTCCAATGCCATGGCTGATTTATATTTTGTTAGCATGAACCAGCCTACCTACAATCATTCGAATATTCAAAGCTGCATATCATGAAAAGACCTAGCATTGAGTCTCTGCTCTGTAGGAGGAGTGGTTAAGGTGACAGACCGTGAGTCATGCATGATCATCAGCTTCTATTAATATACTAATCTTTCGAATTGGTGGTGATATACACCGAGACTCTGCATCCTGGTCCTATAAATCACAAAGAGATCAAGACATGGACTTTCCTCCGTCTGTGGTCAATTGCATGTATAGATCAAAGCTACCTAAGCTACCTTGCCTTACAGGTTATTTGTCAGAACATTCACTTCGCAGTGCTCGTTACAGGAACACTAAGTATATGGCCAGGTTTCTGAACCCAGTCATCGCTCCTGCCGAGATGATAAAGACAGATTTGCAATGGCTGGGGAACGTCAGTCACTACAATAGGCAATCCGAGCCCTACCTTCCGTTCTGGCTCCAGATCGCAGTGATTCTCTCACCATTTCCTTGTTTTGCTTCTAGTTTCTCTTTCTTCCAACTTCTCTATCTTCATCGCAACTTCATCCATTCCCTTCCTCGAGCGCTGCAATTGCATTAAATAAGACTTGAATCACAATGGATACGCGACCCTCCTTTATCAATTATTTTATAGAGGGTAACACCTCGGCACTTCATTGATAGTGTCGCGGGCCTTGCGCCCTGTGAGCCCATACTTCCCGACTCTCCCATTTTCCATTGATAAACTGTGTTTGTGCGGACTAGGTGGCGGCCAGCATGGCCGGCCATGTGCTAGTAAGTAAGGTTGTGGAATCTCTGAGATCAATGCTCAATAAAGGTAATATAGGGCTGCAATACTTGTGCTGTGAGCAGCTGTGTCGGCGGCAAAGAGCGCTCGACGCTAAAGAATTTTCTCAACTTGATTGCTGCGGTCAAGGTAAGTCTATCAAAGACAAAGCAACATCTTGACATCCTGGGTGATCATCATCTGTATGAACATGGATACTAACAATGTGGTTTATACAGTTGAAGCCGGGTAAAACCACCAAGAAGACGACCACCAAGACGAGCACCACCACCAAGAAGAAGCGCCGTTCACCAAGTCAGAAGGAGAGGTCAAGAAAGTTCTTCGAAAAAAAAAAAAAAAAGAAATGAACGAACGCAAGACTGCTAAAGCAGCAAAGAAAGAATCCACCAATACCTGATTTCCTTTTTTAATTTGTTTGATAAGTAGTTCTTCATGTTTGTACCACGGGTCTACTGAGGCGGATGCTCGAGTAGCTGTACAGCTGCTAAGATGTGAGATAACTCCTGATGAAACACCTTTTGACGCACCAGAGCTTGTTGCAGAACAGCTCCTAAAGGTTACTAAATATC